ACAGTGCAACTCCCAGTTTCCATTGCAACAGTGGACATTTTAGTGACTTCTCTGTAAAGCAAAATAAACACTCCTCCTCCTCCTCCCGCAGCCCATGACGAGGGGATGCTTGGGTTGCTAACAAGCATCGGTTCACTGTCAAGGAAAATGAAAGCTCAGAAATTCATGATATTTGCAAAGAGCCTCATGGGCTTTGGTGGAATGTTAACAAGCCAGAAATGTTTTTTCAATATCAGAAAAAAAAATATATAAAGTTGAAAGGAGTTGTTTGATCAAAGTTAAACCACCATTTCTCCACCACTAAGGGGATGTTTATTATCTGAGGCAGCTCACAAATATAGAAAATCAATGGGGAATCTGCATCAATCACTACAGACTGGATCTAGAAAGCCTCAGACTACACAAGGCTAAACATACAGACCTGCTTCACTTGGTCTATCCCAATCACTTATAAACATACAAGCATGGGTGCTTCAGGCTTTTGTCACTGGTTCTCTAGGCTCTCCCTTCCCTGTTTTAATGCTGGGCCGTAGTGCACTGTCAGTGCTTGTTTCCCATTCAGCTGTATGCACTCTAACCCACAGTGGAGCTTGGGGCCCTCCAAATTCTGGAGCTGATAGGACTGAGGTTTGGAGCGGGCTAAGTAAGAGCATGCACAATTTAATAAGCCAAGCCTGCTCCTGCTCCCATTAAAAGCAACACCAGGTATTCATCAGTTCCAATGGGGGCAGGATTGGACTCCAACTCTAACTGGCAGGGGGAGGGTGTTGTTTGTAGTATGGTTGGGAGAACCTGGTTATAAGATTATAAGATTACACTTCAAACAAAAACTGTTTGAAAATTAATATCCCTCTAACCCTGTCAGATAACGATGCACTGGCACAGTGAGAGCTGTAATATAATGGATTCTGTTGCCTGAAAAACTTGGAAATCACTGATCTGTACTATTTTGTCCTTCATAAACTGAGCAATTGTTTCAAATTACTGTACAAGTGTCATTCATTGAGGGACTCAAGAGCTTCCCTCACTAGCAGTCTCCCAAGGAGACTTACATATTTCTGAACTTTATGGATGCATAACCCATAAAGGCAAATCCAAAAGGAGATTAGGATTTAGATTCTGAAACAAACTATGGGCCCAACGGTCCTGAAAGAGCTCCCAGTCAAGAAGGTCCATGGCTGCAAAATTGGGGCCCCGGGTCTGCCCAACTCCACTCAAATTCTGCTCTTGTATGAATGTAAAAGACAAATGGAAATCCCTGTATGCATCATGGACTGAATATGGACCTGTGTTAGCAGCCTTATCTCTAAGGTTCAGCTATAGCAGAGAGAGTTATTACTCAATCCGGATTGTACTTAGTGTAAATATTTAATATACACACATAATAATACAGAGATCTGATTCTTTCTGTCACACGTTTAGGGTATAGACAATGATTGTGCTTAGTTTTTAAAAAATTGCTAGAAGAAAAAAAAATCCATTCATTCACAGTGCAAACAGAAAGCTTTGAAAAACGATACAAAAAATCCCTATCCTGCTTCCTTCTCCAAATCCATTGTTAGTGCTTTTTCTTTAAACCTTACAAAAATACATTCATTTTATGAACAAAAATACAACTTTGATAATTAATACGATAAAATAACTCAGCACTATTCAAATTATAAAAATATAGTTATATGTTTTATCTACAAAGATTTCTGCCATACTTTGACGATATTCATCAATACTCTCATATGCAAGGTCAGGACTATTTGTATTTCCATTAGAAACCCTGACAAATTTCTTGCCAGAAGCAGAGGTAAGGTGCGGTTTTATAACTCAGAAAACGCACACTGCATAGGGCTGAAGTCTGATGTGTATTATGCAATTTGTAAACCCAGTTGCACAGCTGATATAGTATACATTGCACAGGCCATGGTCAAGTTAAAAAAGTCTAAGGCTACGTTTTAGTCGTGGGTATTTTTAGTAAAAGTCATGGACAGTTCACAGGCAGTAAACAAAAATTCATGGCCCATGACCTGTCCATATTTGTACTATATACTGCTAACTAAAACTTGGGCTGGGGGGCCGCAGGTGCTCGGGGAGAGGGGGCAGTCCAGGGGCGTGGCAGGTGCTGGGAGGGTGGCCCAGGAGCCCCGCTGGTGCTGAGGGGGAAGTGGGTGGCGACATGCAGTCCGGGACCCCTGCTAGTGCTGGGGGCGGGGGGGGAGGGTGGCAGGCAGCCCGGGACCCCCACTGGTGTTGGGGGCAAGGCGGGCGGCAGTGCGTGGCCCCCTCTGGTGCTGGGGGGAATGCCAGGTGGCAGCGTGCAGCCCGGGACTGCCGCTGGTGCTGGCAGGGGGTCCGGGAGGCGGCAGCGCACGGCCCGGGACCCATTCAGGGTGGGGGGAGGGTTGGCAGGGCTGGCAGGTTCCCTACCTGGCTCCATGTGTCCTGCAGCTCCTAGGGGGAGGGAAGGCCGGGGGGGGGCTCCCCATGTTACCCCACCACGAGTTCCGGCTCCACAGCTCCCATTGGCCGGGAACTGCAGCCAATGGGAGCTGCGGGGGCGGCGACTGCGATTGCAGGCAGCGCGCAGAGCCCTCTGCCTAGGAGCTGCAGGGACGTGCTGGCCTACTCCCCCTCCCCCGGAGGTAAGCGCTGCCCTGCACCCCAACCCCCTGCCACAGCCCTGAGCCCCCTCCCATACCCAAACTGTCCCAGCAGCGGCTGGTGCTGCTGGCCCAGGGGATGCCTTTTCTGCTCGGGCAGCCCTGGAGCCAGACACACTGGCCGCTGCAAAAGTCACGGAGGTCACGGAATCCGTGACTTCTGTAACCTCTATGACAGACATGCAGCCTTAAAAATGTCTAATCAATCATGGTCTGCAGTGTCAGCTACCTTTCTATTAAAAAACCCACCAAGCTAGGTCCTTAGCTTGTATAAATGGATGTAGTTCCATTGACCTGAAACTATGGATTTATAGCAACAGAGGAGCTAGCTCTCTAGCTCAGAGGTGGGCACAGGACCCTCCTGCCTGGCCCCTTAGCTCCTGCCCCGGGAGACTAGCCCCCAGCCCCTCTCCTGCTGTTCCCCCTCCCCCACAGCTTCAGCTTGCGCCGCCGCCGGTGCAATGCTCTGGGCGGTGGGGCTGCGAGCTCCTGGGGCAGCGCAGCTGCAGAGCTGCGGCCTGACCCAGTGCTCTGTGCTGCGCGGTGGCGTGGCTGGCTCCAGCCGGGCGTCGTGGCTGCCTGCCCTGGTGCTCTGGGCAGCGCGGCTGTAGCGCCACCAGCCATCGGTGCTCCAGGCAGCACAGTAAGGGGGCAGGGAGCAGGAGAGTTGGATAGAGGGCACAGGAGTTTGGGGTGGTGGTCAGGGGGCAGGGGTATGGATAGGGGTCAGGGCGGTCAGGGGGCGGGGAACAGGGGGGTTGAATGGGGGCAGGGATCCCCAGGGGGCAGTCAGGAAGGAGAGGTGGGATTGGATGTGGCAGCGGGGGGCAGGGGTTCTGGGGCCAATCAGGGGACAGGGAGAAGGGGTGGTTGGATGGGGTAGGGGTCCCGGGGGAGCCATCAGGAATGAGAGGAGGGGTTGGATGGGGCAGCAGGGGGAAGTCAGGGGCAGGGGTTCCGGGGGCTGTCAGGGGACAGGGAACGGGGGGGTTGGATGGGGCAGGAGTCCCAGGAGGCCGTCAGGGGGCGAGAAGCCTCCCCTAACTGGCCCTCCATACAATTTCGGAAACCCGATGTAGCCCTCAGGCCAAAAAGTTTGCCCGCCCCTGCTCTAGCAAGTAACATTTGCATTGCAAAAAGTTAAATTGAATAGGCAACCTGGCTTTTACTAATACTTTTTGTTGTTTTAAAAGTGGAATATTTAAAGACACCAAAATTACCTACAGGAATAGATTGGCACTTCTAACTTCTTTGTTTTCTACAGTTTCGCTGCTATGTAATATTACTTGCATAACAGAAAACTCATATTTTAGAATATAGTACCTCTCGGTTTCAAATTCTATCAGACTCCAAATTGACAAAGCTGCTTATGATTTGTAGTCTTTCAAAGACAAATGCCACCAGTATACAGATACTTCTGTTTTGTCCATGAACTAAACCAAAAGGAAATTTTAGCTTCGATTCATCAAAACTCTTAGACATGTGGTTAAGTCCATCCTTAGTCAACAAGCATTTAACCATGTGTTTAAGTCTCATTAAAGTCAATAGGACTTAAGCAGATGCTTAAGTGCTTGCTAAATGGAGATGGTTCGCTAAATCAGGCATTAGATTTTAAACTGGACTGAGAACCTTCTACTACTAAAAGAAACAAAAGACCCCAGTGAATGCATTAATTTCACTGTCTTTCAATAAAAGGCTTCCTGGAATCTAGTCTTGGTATCGTCACTAAATTGCTGGATGACCTTGAGCAAATCACTTACAGCCTAATCCAACTCCCACTGACTCCAATGGGAGCTGGATTAGCTCTTAATCTCTGTGGGTCAGTTTCCCCCCCTGCAAGATATGCACAATAGTATGTACCCCTTACAGGGATGTGGTGAGGCTTTAATTAATGCTTCTAAAGCACCTTGGCTCAAAAAGGCACCAACTAGATAACTGGTGCAGGCTTGTTATTCTAAATTGCTACATATATGCTGAGAATTTGTAGCACTGCTGCAGCTCTCAATAGATGCAGGACAGCATTCTGTATGTGGGAATCAGGGCCGGCTCTACTGTTTTTGCCGCCCCAAGCAGCGCGCCGAATTGCCGCCGCGGGCAGCTGAACATAGAAGCTGCCGCCGAATTGCCACCGCGGCGGAAACGCGCGTGCCGCCCTAACGGCACACGGACTGCCCCCGCCGTCCGCGGCAGCAATTCGGTGCGCTGCTTGGGGTGGCAAAAACACACGGACTGCCGCACCTTGCAGATTGCCGCCCCAAGCACCTGCTTGGAACGCTGGTGCCTGGAGCCGGCCCTGGTGGGAATGTGTGCCTCATACAAGTAAAATACAAAAATGTAGGGCCTAAATTTCCAGAAGTGGCTAGTGATTTTGGGTGCTCCAACATGAGCTGCCTGAAGTGGGCCTGATTTTTAGAAAGGGCAGAGCACCCACACTCTGACAACTGGACACTTTGAAGTGTCAAGGGGGCACTCAAAAGCTGAGGCACCCAAGACCACTAGTCAATCACTCTTGAAAATGTAGACCTCTATTAATATAAAAGTTTGACTTAACGCCCCCAAATAAAGTGACATTAAAATCAGGTTCGGAGCAGTTATTTGTGAGAACATTTTCAACACGCGGCTCTGTTACCAACTGCATCCAGGGCTTGTTGGAACTCAAAAAGAAGCACTAAATCTTACATGTTTATAGCACATTTCTTCCTCAGAATCCTTAAGGGCTTTACAAACTTAAACACATTATACACAAGGATCACGTCCATCAGCCACCGAAATGCAGACACGTCTAGAGTGACACGTAGCAAATGTGCAGCAAACAGTTTAGAAAAAAGTGATGAAGAATACTGTATCCAACAGAGGCGACAAGGATAATTTAGGTCAGAAGAATGTAATCTCCTGAGTTAAAGTTTGGTCAGGACACCAAGTTTAAATACCCCTGGATCTTGCCAACAGTTCCAGAAGAAATTTAGTGATTGAAGGACTTTGGTTTTATGTCTCATATGAAACACAGCATCTTCAGAAGCAGGTTATCCTCACTGGGGCTTTGGTTCAGCACTGACAAGAGGGAAGAGTGCCACCTACTGAATCTTCCTAACACCACTTTAAGGGCATCAGAACACTGGATGAAGTTTACATACTTATGAACTGTGAGCATCCCCGTGAGGCACCCTATTGGCTGTCCTCAGAATCTTCCTATTTTGTCAGTCAAAATCAGATCCTTACCATTAATGTAACAGAGCCCTTTGCACTTTTGTGTACTGGTGCTTCCAGTATCCTCTAATAAAACTTAAGTGGGATAACTCAGAAGACTTTCCCTTCCTTCCTCCCACCCCCCAAGTACAGTGCTTTGGAATCTGAGGTCAGACTTCGGTTTGAAAAGCCACTTCTCTCCGAACTTTCATATCCAGGTATCCTCTTCGTTTTTGGAAAGGTTGTCAGTGCTCGGATGACTCCTTCTGTAAAAAGCAGAGAGGATCGCAGGTGAAGAGATTTCTATTTTTCCCTGCTGGCTGTAATTTTACTGTTATTTTTTTAGCTAAATTTACAGGCTAAAATTTAGCAACCTCAAATAATAAACAGAGAGAAGGTGAGAACCCCTAGCAAGGTATGTTTGTTATATTGTCTTGACCAATTTCCACATCTGGTATTTTAAGATCATACAAAGGAGAAACAGCAAAGACCTATTATATTACCTAATCCATCATCCAGATAGGGGGGATTGTTCTGCAGTATATTTTGAGGACTTAATATTGTCTTAAAGATGCTCAATGACGGCTGAGGGTTTACTCCCCTCACCCTTGATATTTGGCCTATTTTTTTTAATTGGACCAGGAGTCTTCCAGGAAGAAAAGGAAAGGAAAAGAAAATATGAATGAATATAAAAAACATACAGAACAAAAGCTTAAACCTCACCCTACCACAAGATTTCAGACCTTCTTTACACACCAGAAAGAAAAAAAAAAGGTCACATTTTTCCCATATGCAGATAGCTTAGGAGAATATAATTAAACATGACCTAAGAAATATCCCCTTCTGGTTTCCACTGGGTACAATATTCTCCACGTCCAAGCTTAAACTTTAGTATAATGGTGCTGTGCTATGCTTCACCCATGGAAGGCTGGTGGATTATGTGATTTCTGTGCATTATTTTGTATCATTTAAATTTGCAGATTACTTTGGGAAACGAAACAGAAGTAATCTCTTACAAAGACACCCTATATACACAAGGACTCTGCAACCAAGGTAAGATACTAGAACAGTGGTTCTCAAACCTTTGTATTGGTGACTCCTTTCACATAGCGAGCCTCTGAGTGTGACCCCACCTTATAAATTAAAAACACTTTAAAATATATTTAACACCATTATACATGCTGGAGGCAAAGCGGGGTTTGGGCTAGGGGCTGACGGCTCCAACCCCCAGTTTGAGAACCCCTGTACTAGAAAAACGTAATGTTCTGCTAATTTACAGAATTTTAAAAACTTAAAACAAACCCAAAACTATGATAGTAGCTAATAATTTCCCCCACCCTGAATCCTGGCATCCTGTAAGAGAGGCTGCTCTGATATTATTGCCCTTTGCTGCTGAGTCAAACCTACCTTAACAGCTCGAGTGCAAATTCAGTTTCTTTTCGACTTTTTTCAGTGATTGGGTAGAAGAGGAGTATGGATAAGCCTATAACAATGAGGATGGCAGGGACTGCCCCAATCAGGATTTTCAGTGTAAGGATCACAGTGCTGGATTGCCTGCACATCCCTGTTTTATAACCAGCAAACCTATAAAAACACACATACGGACATTGCTGTTATTCCCCTACCTAAAAGGCACTTGGTCACGTTAAGGGCTTTCCCCGATCTCCTGCCCTCCCACCACCAACTGAACATCTGCTCCAATTTCTTCTTACACTTCCCTCAAAGGGAGCAGATAAGATATAAAAAGAGGGAGGGGAGTCAATCCTACAGCTACCAACATGAAATTTGTCATTGATTTCAATGGGAGCAGGTTTCAGCCCTTTGCCTCCTTTCTTCCACTCCTTGTCTTTGTGCCTTCTCTAAAATAATTTCATTACCTTTATGCAGTCAAAGCATGGAACTACATGCTGTTGTTACTACTGTACAGACTTAATTATTAACAAAGAGAGACAATAGTGAAATGAAATCCTATATAGCTAGACTTGGAAGGATTAGATTTTTATTGATAAATGTCAATTTTACTGTACACACACAAACTGAGGAAAAAATATTTCCATTGACAATAATCAAAATGTACACAGAGGCAAAATAAGAAAAAATGCTCCTTGAGAACTTATCAGAGTTTGATTTAAGGAGATCTATTTTGTATATTTTGATGTGATGTTGACAATTTGTGTTTTAACGATTATAAAGCTGTAGCTTTTTGAATCTCAACATTTATTGTCATTAAATAATGGTCTGATCTCCCCCCATAATTTCCCACAACCGTGAACATTTAAATAGATAAAAATAAAATAAAAAACTTAAAACCCATAATTTTGTGCCACTGTGAAAATTTAAATAGATAAAAATTGAAAAAATGCTTAAAATAAATATTGATCTTATCCATCAGAATTATAAAAAAATAAAAATTGAATACTGCCAAGTCTCCATATAGGGGAGCTTGTCTGATAAGTGACTCCTCTCCCTGCTCAACAAAGCTCTTAAGCATGTGCTTAATTTTAAACGAAGGTGAGTAGTCTCACTGGCATCAACAGAAGTTCTTACCTCCTTAAAGCTAAGGACATGCTTCAGGGCTTTGCTGAACAGGGACAGGATTAATCTGATGCTTAAAGTTAAGCATGTACTTATGCGATAGGCTGAATCAGGACCAGGGGTGTGCATAGTATTACAATTACTGATGCCCTGAGCTGTTCCGTGCCAACTTGTGGAATTATTCTGTTTCATCCTGAACATGCACCTATGAAAAATTATTACCCATTTTCCATCAAACTGCCTCCTAGGCTCTCCCATAAATGTCAGCTCTGGACTCCAGCAGATGGCAAACTGCTGGGAGCTTGCTAACTGGAGTGAAGTAGCGTTAATCAGTTGACAGTAATTCTGTTAGTTATGAGCTCTCCGTATGTAGTCACTAAAACACAGAGACTTGTTTTCCTGAGGAAAAAAAGCACTGCAGCATCTGCTGCAAATTCATAACAGCTTGTGGACAGATAAGTACTGACAAGTGGTTCCCAGTGCAGTCTACACGGGAGCTACCACATCCCACTTTCTTCTCATTTTGGTTCTCCAGTCTTAAACTGGAGTAGCAGTGGCAGAAGACACATAGTTAAATCACAACTGCCAACTGGGACTTGATCTCCTGCCCTACATAACGTGACTTCTATAGTGCAAAGTCAAGGTCAGCGTGGAGGGGAGGTACTGTAGGGTCACAGCACTGTGCAAGAATTTGGAGGACAGCTTAAAACTGCCCTGTAGTGATAAGTTCCACTTTTCAAGCACATTTCAGAAATATCTGGTTAATTACACTGGCTCTACCATCTATTTGAAAAGTGATTTGAGACATTAATCTGGCTGGTTGAAATTTTTCCATTGGCTATTGGGTTTTCGATGACATGAAAGCTTTAAAAGGCATGGTCTGCTTTTCCTAGAAAAAAATGCTAGTTTTGTTCAAAATAAAATAAAATCTAAACAGACTAGACAAACAGTGGGAGGGGAAACAGAGGGCCAAAGAATTGACTTGCTCAAGGTCAACCTAGGAAGGTGGTGGAATCTCCATCCTTAGAGGTTTTTAAGGTCAGGCTTGACAAAGCCCTGACTGGGATGATTTAGTTGGGGTTGGTCCTGCTTTGAGCAGGGGGTTGGACTAGATGACCTCCTGAGGTCTCTTCCAACCCTAATATTCTATGATTCTATAACAAAGACGGCCCGAGGCAGAGTTGAGAACAGAACCCAAGTCTCCTGGCTCTTAGTGCTCAAACCACTAAGTCCATGCTGCTACCTAAAGAAAGCAATGTAAAACCAAACAGTTCTTAACAGGCCACCAGGTGTCCTGGTGACCAGAAGTCTGACCTGTCAGATTACAATTTTGTGTTTAGGATTCGACCATTATAAATTCAAGCTGGCAACCAGACTCTGTCTTTGAGCTCCCTGCTTTCACGAATGGTGAGAAGGCAATTACCATACAGCACCTCAGAGCCCTTTAATACAGCAACTAAGTGGATATAAAACATCACTTACTCCAGGCTTGCTGTGGAAATTCCTAATCCAATCCCAGCCGACATCTTGGTAAAGAAGACGTATGAAGAATAAAAGATGGTTTCGGGTCCCTTTGCATGAGGATTCAGCAGGCGAAAGTGATCAACTACATCAGGCAACATTGACCTGCAGACCAGCAAGAGAAGAGGAGTGTAAAAGCCTCAAGCGGAAGTTTCTGAGCCTCTTTAATATAGAGTTTACAGAGTCTTTTTTCTTGAAGGTTTGATTTGTGGAATTAATTGTGCAAACGAGATCATTTATTTTTGATATGATATTTAGGCTGAGAATTACAAACAGAGAAAGTCAGATGGCAAAGAACACAGAAACAGAAAAGAGGGTGTTAACTCTGCACTGCTAGGTCAACAGACCAAAATTAGTAATGGTAGGGGCTTCGCCATCTAAATGTAAAGGTGGGCAGTGGAGGTTGGAATTTGGTTTTGCAAACCCTCATTGGTTCAATTGAGTGGGTAGAATGTTTTACCCAGGGAATGTCAAAATTTGCTGACTGAGGTGGAACATTTTTGAGGGAGGCACTTGTTAAAACATTTGCAGCACACTGCTGGGTAATTTAACTACTAAGCAGAAAACCTTCTTTCAGAAATGAGTTTGATGAAGTTTTGATTTACTACTTCTGCAGGGAGCTAGTCAAATACAGAAAGTTATACTGATTGAAAGGAGGACAAAAAGTTTTAATAGGAAATGCATGACAACAACAGTTCACAAAGTTGTAATCTAGTAAGCGAACAAAACCCCAAGGTAGAATTTTATTCACATCGCATGGTTACAATATTTACCTCTTTTTTAAAGTAATAGAAATGGATGATTTAGTTGGGGATTGGTCCTGCTTTGAGCAGGGGGTTGGACTAGACGACCTCCTGAGGTCCCTTCCAACCCTGATATTCTATGATAATAGAAAGGTACAAAAATATCTGAGTTAGATATTGGGTGATTGTGAATCTATGAGAAGCCCTATCATATAACTAACTAGAGTGCATTAACAAAGCAGCAGTGTTAGGACACTAAAAGGGCCTATTCTCCCACTGATGCAGAGGATTTAGAGTTGCTGACCTAAAGTCAAAGCCCCGGAATACCCACGGAGTCAGCACCTATGCCTGCCCCTGTAGCACACTCCTGCATTTGCTCTCCATCATAGGGCTGCTTTGTAGGGATCTACAGCTTGGTGCAGGCTGCCCATGCTACATTCTTAATTGTTTAGCATTAATTGATTTGTATGCAATTTCCAATATAAATTCTAGAGTACTATTAAAAACTAAATCTAAATGACTGATTGATTTACTATTCTCAGGAGGTCTAGACACATGTAGGTTACTAATTAATTTATGAATATTTTCAGAGAGCATTTACATTTACACATATGTACACACATACCAGACATTAACAGTTGACACGTGACACTGATTACAACATAGTTATCACAGATCTCTCCTAGTCTAAATATAGGGAAAAACTCTAATTTCTCAGATACCACTGGGTGGTAACTGTTGCGAAATTCTGAGTGTTTACATGGTGAACTCCACACAGTACACACACACACACACACACTTCAAATATAAGATTTGCCTACCATGGCAACAGCAAAGATGCTGCAATACTCAGACCAGAGACAAAGGCCACCACGTAAGCCAAAACCAGATTTGGGATTGTAACCAGCATGACCGCAAAAGGAATCATCCACTAAGAGAGGGAAAGACGAACCAGAAGAAAAATGGTAGATAAGGTATATGAAAAGTATGGCATACAACGGAAAATATATTTTTTCACACAGAAGAGGTAGCCATTGTGAAACAGCAGTTTATATATTGCTATGGTCCAACAAAGCTTAAAGCGTCAGTGTTGTGAGAGAACGGAGCTCCCACGGGGTCCTAGTTCATTATTTAACTTAGCAAAAGGGAGGAAGTGACTAGAGCTCTGCAGCGGAACAGGGATCCCACAGGTCCTGCAGGCCCACTGCCATAATAGCGGGAGTGGGTAAAATGTACTTTGTTGTGTGTGGGAATGGGTGGGCAAAATCCCAGACTGGTAATTTGTGGGAAAACACAATCCTTTTTTTAAAATAAACATTTTAATACTTAACTTTAAGTGAGGGGTAGAAAGAGATTTGATGTCTATTATAACAAGAGTTAAAGTATTGTTTACATGGTTTAAGCAAGATTTGTGGGTTTTTTAGTGGTAAAAATCGTGTCTGAATTCCGTTTATATATATATATATATATATATATAAATATAAACCAACTGTTTAAAAAAATCTGTCTCTCTTTCGGGATTTGCGGGATCTAAGATTTTTGTGGGTGGGAGCAGCGTAAAAATGCAAGAAACAATGAGGGTGTGAGTGGGAGTGGTAGTGGGTATTGCACAGCAAGACAGGAGTGAGATTAAAAAAATAGTCCTGCGCAGGGCTCTAGAAGTGACAATATTTTAGAAAAAAGAACAGGAGTACTTGTGGCACCTTAGAGACTAACAAATTTATTAGAGCATAAGCTTTCGTGGGCTACAACCCACTTCTTCGGATGCATATTGAGTGAAACATATATCGAGGAGATATATATACACACATACAGAGAGCATGAACAGGTGGGAGTTGTCTTACCAACTTTGAGAGGCCAATTAAGTAAGAGAAAAAAAACTTTTGAAGTGATAATCAAGGTAGCCAAGTACAGACAGTTTGATAAGAAGCAAGTGTGAGAATACTTACAAGGGGAGATAGATTCAATGTTTGTAATGGCTCAGCCATTCCCAATCCCTATTTAGCCCTGAGTTGATTGTGTCTAGTTTGCATATCAATTCCAGCTCAGCAGTCTCTCGTTGGAGTCTGTTTTTGAAGTTTTTCTGTTTTAAGATAGCCACCCGCAGGTCTGTCATAGAATGGCCAGACAGGTTAAAGTGTTCTCCCACTGGTTTTTGAGTATCATGATTCCTGATGTCAGATTTGTGTCCATTAATTCTTTTGCGTAGAGACTGTCCGGTTTGGCCAATGTACATGGCAGAGGGGCATTGCTGGCACATGATGGCATATATCACATTGGTAGATGTGCAGGTGAACGAGCCCCTGATGGTATGGCTGATGTGATTAGGCCCTATGATGGTGTCACTTGAATA